TTGGTCGAACCACCCGGGAAACTCTGGCGGGCGGCCAGACGACCGGGGAGCCTCTGGGGGTTGGCCCGGTGGACAGGCAAACGGCTGGGGAGCCTCTGGGGGTCAGCGTGGCGGACGGTCATTTGGCGGCTCCGGAGCACCGACTGCAGGGCACGGAACGTCTCCGCGGCCGCCGGCGGCTCGGGGATACGGAACACCTCCGGAGTAGTCGGCGGCGGCTCGGGGACACGAAACACCTCTGGAGTCGCCGGCTCAGCCCCGCCATAGCCCCCCCCTCAAGGGCCGGATCCCGGATGGCCCTCAGATCACCAACGGAAGGGTGGGATAGGACCACGGGATGGGAGGGAGAAAGCCTGAGTCGGGGAGCGGGCACTGGAGGCGTCGGGGTCATGAGTCTCGGAGCGGGGACTGGCCGAGTCGGGTTTGGGGTCACGAGTCTCGGGGCCTGGAGTCTCGAGGCCGGTACTGGCGGGGTCGGGACTGAGAGTCTCGGGGCCGGTACTGGAGGGGTACCCAGGGACACGAGTGGCAGAAAACTACAAAATAAGACAGGACGTGACCCACACCGTGACTGAGACGGTCAAAGTAACTATGCGCGATCACTATGCAATCGGGCTGTAGATACACACATATGGGTGACAGGGCTTCATTTGGATCTGCCGCATTCGATCACAAAGGTCACATTGAAAAGTGTCACCACGGGCGCACTTGCTTCTGAGAGACAGCGGTCACAATGCGAACCGCCACGCCTTCTCAGGAGTGTGGCCAACACAAAGAATTTAGAAATTTGAGGTACTTCCTGCTTCACTTTTCATAACCGCAGGACGCTATTGTTGTGGTTTTGGTGAGATCTTCGACAAAGGCGTTAAAGTAGGTAACACAAGCGGCTCTGATGTGGCATCAGTGCATCAACATTTAGCCCCACAGGACGCAGCTGTCGGATCTTAATTTGGATTAACTGTCCATGAAATGACACAGCGATACGACCCATGAGCTGTTTGCACCGTCACATTGCTGAGAGGGAACTGATGTTGACCTTTCCACAAACTTCCGCTAAGTCAGAGGGAGTTGGACTGTAAAAAGAGCCAAATGCCAGTGGATAGTCATCATGGGGAAGTGTTCACGCTGCAGTCAGAGGGATGTTGCCTTGTCTTCACAATGCGCAGTGCGGCTCGGGTGGCTGGTTTTCACATCGCTCGCACAAACACAAACAACGGTAAACATGCCCTTTGTTTTCTCGCTGGTTCCCTTTTTCACCCCCTTTTTTGCTTTTCTGTAGTTCTTCGTTCCAACGTTTGTCATCACCCCCCCCCCACACACACCCTCCTCCTCCCATCAGAGTTCTTTAATCAGACCGTGAAATGACAGCAGACTGGCAGAGCGATCTCCCCCCTCACTGCTCATTCTGAAACGCTAGCGTGGAAGGGGAGGAATGAGGGGGATGGAAGTGGCAAGAGATAAAGAAATGAAAGGAAGTGAGAGCAACATGTAGGCCAGCAAGGGGAGGAGAGAGGAGAGGACATGAGGCAATGTGCAAAAGAGACATCCAGAAAAAGAAGAGAGAAGAACAACAAGCAGGCAGCAGGGTGCTAGAGAGTGACGGGTAATAAATGAGAGTAAGAGATGCGTTCTAAACAGAGCATGTGGAACAGACTATAGAGTATTAAAAGAAAAGACCAATCCTCTAACCTGCTAGAAGAAGAAGGAAAACATCAACATTTCTCCATGTGAGGACAAATGAAGTGTAAATTCCTGCAGCAGCTCATCAGATCGGGGCCGTTTTCACATATTTTCTGCATCAGGGTCTGCGAGGCCACCCTGCTGTGAAAGGAATCGGGAGCACTTATAATTATCTTCTGTCTAATGTAAAGGGGTGCGAGACAAAAATGAGGAAGATATTGTTTTAGAAACTCCAATAGGGTCCTGCATCAAGGCCTTTACACACCTGGAGGGTTTTCTTTCATGTGATTAACGTGCATGTCAATATCCATTTTCCAGCTGCTGTATTTGTCATGAGCACTATCAAAGAAAGGTGAAAAGGGGACTTCTTCCAGAACGAGGTTGATTCTCCTGAGCGTTCGCACCATAAAGGCATCAAACAATCGCTTTGAGTCGCTCGTGTATTTGGATGGACAACTCTTTTCAACCGTGGCAACGGAAGTGCACACCAGATACCACGGGGCGTTTGGCTCATCAACTGTCTCCAGAGAAATTGAGATTTAAATGACTATAGAATGTAAATTAAATCATTTTCAGGTTATAGACGTTATATTCCTCCTCAGTGTTGTCAACTCACTGGTGTGTGTGTGACCCAATGACTGGGAGCTCAAACGTGGAACAGGCTGGTTAACTCAAAATTCACCAAACACTCATCAATCATTTAAGATGAACAATGGGTGAAATATTTGTGGTGACACGCCTACAGGTAATTATAACCCAGTCCCGCAGAAAGGTTTGTTCATGCTGCTCTTTATAAAACAAAGTAGTTGCTCCCCGTCACACGCACACAAGTCCTAAAGTGTTCCACTGGAATCTGAGCACATCACAGAGGCCAGCTGATTGTAATATCATTAAGAACTATTGAATGATTTCAACTGAAGTTATGCAGAGATTATTCACTTTTTGTTTTAACAGTAGTCTCCTATTGATCCTGCTCTACCTGAGTTTGGTACCCTGGAGCTGAGCACCAAGGCCAAGACACACACACACACTCCCAGGTGCTCAGTGCACCAGTTCAATCCGTCTCTGCTGCGAGCCAAATATATATATATTTCAGCACCTGCCTGGGACATGCAGGATATTTCTCCTGTACTAATATTTGTGTGTGAGTTTTCAGGTGTGTGAATCCCAAAACAGCGAGAAAGAAGAATAAAGAATAAATCTCTTTTACAACATCTTTTGCACTAATGAGACACCTCTCACCTTCTCATTCTTCTTTCTCTCTCACACACACACACACACACACACACACACACACACACGAACCATGGCAGGGCTCTTCCCTGGAGAGCTCTGGGATTCCTTCCTCTTCTTGCTATAGCAACACACATCTACACCAGAAGCTTTTTTCCCCACAACCCGTCACTGAAATAACTAAGCGTCTATGGATCGTAAATCTAATTATAAAAAATATGCAACATATCTTCAGCCATCAAAAGAGAGAGAAGTGCTCTCTTACGTGGAAAGGAGATGAGGTGCCGTTTACAGCTTACCTCCAGTACACTGAGCAGATGTTTATAGAGTGGTTGCTATCAGTGAGTTGCTTTAATAGCAGTCATTAGTTTCACGTTAATTAGTTTCTACCACAAGAGCGAAACTCTTTAGTCGCTGGTTTTTATGTGAAAAGCTTCCACGTCTCGTGCAGCAGTCCAGAGCTGAGAGAGTTTCTCATTCTGGTTTTCTAATCATGATATTCCTCAAATTAACTAATTTCCAATATGTTTCATTTTTTATTCTGCTTTTACTGGCGTCATCTTCTTTTCCTATTTTACTAGGATCATGCAGCCAATGCACCGTTCCTCTGAGAGAGACCTTTACGTGGATCCGGCTGCAGCAAACTGCATAGCATCTTTGGTGCTGAGTTATGACTGCGTGATGAAGGACCTCTTATTACCTTTTATTGCCTTTTTTTATGAAGACCATGAAAGTCCGCTGACTCACTGCTCTCAACCGGCCCCCGGCTGGTAGGTGTGAGGGAGAAGAGTCGGCTCACTTTGATCAGCTAACAAGTAAGAGGGCTACACACACAGCCCGTGCTCCGAGGGCGGAGACACTTTGCTATGTGTCTTTTTTAATCCGCCACAAATAAGACAGAGGTAAACCTGCAGAGGTCAAAAGGAGTGTGTGTGAGACACTTGTAGTCTAGACAAATCTGCACTTTTTTTTAATAAAACTTGAATTAGTACTGTTGGGAGCGTGAGACATGAGGTTTTCGTGCTAATCACTGCTTCTCTGTGCACGAAGAAAGAACTTGAACATGGTACGGGGGGGTGTGGATAAACGCCCTGGTATCATACACTCACACGCATATTGTCAGTCGGGAGAAGAGCTCATTTCTTTTTCGCCAGCTATCGCAACCACATTTTCGGGGTTAAACCTTAAAACACTGTGCATTCATACTCAAACAGACAGTTAAACTGTAAGTGCAGCACCTACCTGTCACTGGGTGGAGAAAATGAGAGAAAATCAACAGTGAACGATAAAACGGAATGTCTGCCACCTGAATTTCAAAAGGAAGTGTGCAGATGAGACAGTATTTCCAAAAAAGAGAAGTGCTTTGTAGAGCCTGAAAGACACGGCAGGGAGCGACTGTATTGCATTTCACCCAGTGTGAATATTTCAAGAGCACTTCTTGCTATAATGAAATGTTATACTGTGCCAACGGCAGAAAGAAGACTTTTCTAAACCCGTGGGTTCATGTTCAAAGACAATACAATATTGATGCAAACTGTTTACACTGAAGAGCCTGCAGTTTTTTCTCCACCATGAATGGAGCAGCTATTCAATCGACTTTAAGTTATCGATGTTCGCAGAGGAAGTGGATTTGTATGTAAAGTTTCAAATTTCCAGAGAGATTGTCTCTGGAATTTGTGAAATAAGTCTCTTATGTCACGACTGTGGGTCTCAGTTAGACGATGACGTAAAGATCCTTCAGTTTCAGATGGACGTCGTGAGGAGTCAAACCAAATTTACATCAGTTGAAGTTTATCTGCGAACCTTCAGCCAATACCGCATAAACATGTACCTCCTCCACTCAACAAGGATTTTGTTTTCAACACACAAGACCACTTACAAGCAACAAGGTGAATAAGTGAGTTAATCTTCTGCGGTTGAACACTGCTTCCAAGTGGACGACATTGCAAAGTACAAGCTGCACTCAACTACATCGTTGCTGATGTTTTCAACTCTGTAACTGTAACTACTGTAACTCCTGCAGCTGAAATGCTATAAACTATTCAATGAATTCATTAACAAATAAGAGCCTTTTGTGTCATGAATGGTTTTATCAATATTTTAGCAATAACAATATTTGTTTTACATATATCCATATGTAAATGCTAACCCCCAGACAGTATACTGGGATTCCTCTACAACCGCCAGTCACAATGAAACTGACAGCGATGTTATTTCTATAAGATCCATAATTACTAAATGTACTCCTGCTGCTACTGTGCTGCAGTGCTGATATTCACTAAGATGTTAATGCAGCATTGACGCAGATTAATGTATTCGTTTTGGATGGTTTGGATAATTATAAATCATCATAAATTTCCGTTCAAGTGGACCAAAGTACACACGCACACACTTTAAAATCGTACCCAATAGCAGCTCTTAGCCTTCTCGTAAGGGCCGAGGATGCACTGCGCAGCACTTTTCTTTTTTGAGCCTCCAACATAACCTGCAAAGAAAAAGAGCACATATGACTGGTGTCAGTCTGGTCTCTGCTCTCTGTTAAAAGCACACAGATGCATTTGGTAACATAGTAATAATGCTGGGGAGGATTTTTGGTGGGAATTGTTCTTTTTCATTTTTGTAATACTATGGGTTGTGCTTTACAAATCAGCTGATCATTTCATCACTACAAGAGATCACACTGTCACATTTTAATTTGATTTGATACATCTTGTAACAACGTACGTGAGGAGTAGCGTTCACTTGGGTTTCATGACAAACTTTGACGTAAAGGTCTTACGTAAAGTTAACGGACATTAACTGACACTAAGGTGTTAAATGAACGTTGTATTATCGATGCCAGGTCCACATGACAGCACTCAACCATGCAGAACTAGAGACCCAATGTGTGGGCCCTGTAGCTGGGGGTCCGTCCCCCCCCCCATGTGCCCTGGTTGTGGTGGGTAAGCTGACCTGGTTTTACACAGACTCCCAGTCTGGGCGGAATACAAAGAGAACAGACCCGGGGAAGAGGAAATATGATGAGTTGGCATAAAGGATACTTCATTCCACTTGGACGAGCAGCTTATTAGGGATTCACGGGATTCAACCGATGCTCTCCGAGCTAACCAGCTAAATGTTCTGCAGACGTGTCTGCTGATTGTTGCTGGCAAATACATTTAACAAACTGAAAGGATATAAAAAATCCTCAAGAGCACCTTCTGATCTAAATTATTACCAAAAGCGACTGGTTAAGGGAGCAAGTTACGGTAACATGCGTGTTGCCCAAGGCGGCGCGACGCGTGCAGTGCTTAGAACTGTTACTTCCCTCACAGGGACGGCGTGTTCTGACCTTTCATGGTGAAAACACCGCGGCAGAAGTCTTTGAAGTCGATCCTCCCGTCAGAGTCGGGCTGCAGGCATCCGGCCAACCTCTCGGCCTGAGGAGAAGTCACACAGACAGAAGTGACCACACATTTCTGTCGGGGGGGGGCGAGCGATGCTTTGTTTTTGTAAAAAACACTGTACATGTCACAACATGACACCGATGACAGGAGCTCCCACACACAGAGCCACCTGCCTGTCACTCACATTCACACCGTTCACACACAGAACCAATTTGGGGATCAATCCGCCGGTCCGCTGATTGAAGGACGACTGTGCTCTCCGGGGGTGGGGGCAGGTCATATCACTTCTTTGCCTTACACAGGCAGCGTATGGCTGAATCTTTATTATATCGACTGTTGAACATTTTTGGAAATGATTGAAAGAGGAATGAATGTTTTTTTTTAAATTGAAACGTTAGAAATAGTTTGATTAACAACGGTGAAGCTGTGTTTTATAAGAAAACTGAGCGTTGCCAAGCCGACTCAATATGTGTGCTGTGAAAAATAAAACTATTATCGTCAGTGCAGAAATCCAGTTATAGGAACATATTGGTGTCTGAAGGTTATTGAAAATGTGAGTGTGTACACTCACTATATATGTATATGTGTGTGTGTGTTAATGCAGGTCTGTGTCTCCCACTGAATCATTAAACCAGCCAATAGACAGCCGGCTGAAGTACATGACTCACACGCCCTTTCAACACGGCACTGAAAAGGCTCTGTACGGAGATAAAGAGTGATGCAGACCGCATTCAGTATATCAGACAGTTATCATCTCATGCTGCACCAACCTTCTCTTCATTACTGAGGCCAACACGACATGACGCAGACTTTCCATAAAATACGGGACCCATCCAACATCTGATAGACCCACATTTAAATAACAACCCATTCGTTTATAAAAGCATCGGGAAGAAATAAATCAGACAAGGCAAAGGGAGTTTGTCTTGGACAAGGCCGTGGGATTTGACCATAGTAATATAAATGATGACACGTACCTTTTGTGTGATACATTATGCTCAAAAAGCATTTATGTGTTGACAGTACATTGGTTTTTATTTGTAGGGTGAATGTTTGAGTTAACTCATCTAAAAGATAAAGATTTGAGGACCAAGAAGCCGCCACCTCGTAGGGTGATTGAGATTCAAAGGGTTAGGGTTATTTCCCTAAAGTCAAGTTTGTTGGTGTTTTTTTGGTTTTCCTGATTAAGAATATTAATAATATTCAGAATGTAACCCATCACAGCAAATTTCAGAGAGTTAAATTGACTCTGTGGGATTCAATTTTAACTCTAAGCTGGTGTTTATATTGTCCCAATCTTGTCAGTGTTAAATCAACACTCAATGATTTAACAATTTAAAACACTTTAACAAGTTAACTTTGAATAAGTGTCAAAAATAAATCTGGCCATTGTTAAATACATTACAGGTCATTTAGCTGACGCGTTTATCCAAAGCGACTTAGATTGCATTTTTAACCCATGGTTTTTACATTTTAGCCTGGGGAGCAATTAGGGGTCAGGTGTCTTGCTCGGGGACACTATGAAATGGGACATGTAGCAGCTGGGATTTGAACCGCCAACCTTCCTGGCTCACCCTCTCTACTCCATGTCCCACAGTACGTAGAGTTAAACCGAACACCAAGAAGTGTGACACTGTACAGTTACATTTCAAACCTATCAAAGAGTGGAAAGTTAACTCTAAGAATTTTGCTGTGTTTTGTCTTCGGTCAGATTGTATTGGTTAGACCACTTAGGTCTTTTAAATGGATGTTCTGAGCTTCAGACATCAGTGCTCTGCACCACGGCTGAATGACGCATGGTTCTCTTTGCAAGCTAACCACAGGCATTTCAAATTAAACGGAACTAGAGTTGTGGACTGAAACAGAAACAACTTTTCTCATTTTCACATATCAATCAAGTTTAAAACTAGAATGACAGACTTGCGGTTTAAGGCCTCTGCCAAGCTGTGATGTATCAGTTTACATCGATTAGACGCCTGTGCGAAATAGACATGATTAGTATATAAACTATGAAGTCCATATGGGACGGATGTGAGGTCACAGTGAACTTTGACCTCAAAATTCAAAAGGTTGTCTAGCAAAAACATCAAATGGGCCTTTTATTGGAGATGTGACACTTGCAGTCACATAACAGTTAATCTAGAAGCCTGGTCACACGTACTAAGCTGCTGATGAGACCATTTAGAGGTCATTAGAGGACAAGCAAAGAATCATACCTATTTTGAATGCAACACTCTGCCTTCTGAATACACTGTGGGCCACATGATCATAACATGTTAATCTCAAATCATGTTCAACCAAAAGAAGAAAAAAGGTTGAATTACTAGTAGAACGAGATTATCCCGTATATCACGCTGAATAACAAAGCGTTCCTGTGACATGTAAAGTGCTTCGCACTATAGTGTGTAGGAGCGACGACCGCGTGGATAAGAGTTGCTTCTACTTTATCCTGTGAATCTTTTCCCCAGGTCAGCGGAGGCTTCCGCCCCCCCCCCCCCCCAGGAGCTCATCAGCGTCTCCATGCATGTTCCTGCAGATGAGCAACACAACACTGGAGAGCCAATCAACCGCAGAGTTCAGTTCCCCCGACGCGCAGCGAACGTCCCCCGTTACATGCGTCCAAAATATAGACTCATAATATTCCCCATTCATGGCGAACACGTCTCGATAAGCTGCCCTGTTTTAGGCATGTCTTTTATAATGAGCTATTTCTCAAAGGGGAAATATACTCCATTTTTTTCTCCTCCTGTCCGTTCTCGTTGGACTCGAGGCCTTCCTTTAGAGTGGACATGCTAGGGAATATATTAAAAAATATGATTTGATTCCATTTGCTTTGTGCCATGAATTACACTTGGGATGTTGGTCAATTTTAAAAACCATTTAGCACACACGTTTTGTCATACATTTAAAGTCTGCAATTAGAAAAGACTACACAACCGACTTGCAAAGCAGACACCGACATTATCTACGATGCAGACCAGACGCTACAGGATTCACTGTCCCCCATCGAGGTCCAAGTGGTCTAACAGGACAGGACGGGCCAAAGCGAGCTGGTTAGCACGTTCAATTCTGCAGATATCTCTGCTTTGAATGTTGAATCCTCGCAGTATCTCGCACATTACACCTGTGGTGGCCATTAAACAGGTAAATAAAAAAACATGAATCAAAGAGTTTGAGGCAAAAGACTTCATCGTCCATAAAAACACAAGAACAAAGAAACTCATGTCCTGCATAGCATTGTTAATTAAACAATGCTATTAATGAATAACATAGCTAAATATTACCATAGAAAATAGCTCCTAAAGCACCATACAGACTATAAACAGCAACAAGTATTCAACAACTTCCAGGTTAAAAGGCTATTAGTTTAATTGCTCGGCTGCCTATAGAAGTTGGGTGGCGGACGGAAACCTTTTTAGTTGAACCCCAAAAGACCCCCCGAAGCGAAAGGCGCGCGTGTCGTCACCTGTTCCACTCGTCCAAACTGAGCGCCCAACTGCGCAAAGTGCGCAACGCGGACGAACCCGTCCGAGTCCGAGTCACACGCGTCGAACACCTCTCTGAGTTTCCTCACGAGTGTCAGCAGACTACGCGGCTCTTCGTCCATCTCTTTAATGCGAAGAAGACGTCGGTTCTCCCCCGACGTGAGAGACGACGGCGTCGCGTCGCCGGGAACCCGCTGCGGCTGAGCGCGCGCTCGTGGATGCTGCTGATGGACCTTGAGGGGACACGTCCCGTTCCAACTCGGATGCTTTCGCCGGTTGTCCCGTTTTTAACGTTATATTGCAATGACTTGTGGGTAATTCCTTTGGAATTGTTCGTAAAGGACGTGACATGTCTGCACAGACACTCGGCGGTTGGACAGCGGGACAGCAGCCTCGCGCAGTAGCGGGAGCGCGCCTCGTTGTCCGTAATTGATTATAAAATGTCATCTCTCGTTTTGCCAATGTGGTTTAATGAAGCTTAGCGCAATGAACACGATAAGAGCCCTTTTAATGTGAAGTGTAAAATCAAACAAACAAACATTGCACTGGTTCCCTTGAAGAAAAAGCCAATGGGACTTTTTGGCTTGATTTTGATTTATTACAACACAACACATGTTTTTTGATAATTACACGTTTTGTTCTGCAAGATAATCACCACAATTGAACAAATTATTTGTTTGCCTCTAAATGCAAAGGGTGGAAGATAAAGCTAACATTATCTACCAAATACACCACGGTCACACGCTCAAGTTTATTGCTTATTTAGCCGTAAAGAACCACCTTCTATAAGACATAATAAAACATTCACAAAGGTATTGTTGTGTTCAAAAATGATCAAACGCCGGACGGACAGAGGTCATCGCTGATCAAAAGGTTAAATCAAATGTATTTAATAAAAGAGATGGTCCCAGGTCAGTCCTTTTGACCCCCCATAGTGCCCGTTTGTCGCCTCCACCAGCAAACTCGAGAACAATGGTTCCTACAGGTATTTATAACAATGCTTAAAGGTGTGAAAGTCAGTGTCCACACCTCTGGGAGTGGTCTTCTGGTGAGTTCAATGTAACTTGGATTTCGAATGATCCTTAGTCAATATCAGTTGTTGTGCAAGTATTACATGCATGCATTCCAGTTGATTACATTACATCAAATACAATCATAACGGCATTATTATTATTCTATTACAGTTGCAGAATTATAGTGGTTTTACAATATTGTCATTACTTTATTGATTACAGTTTCAGAATCATGGCTGTATTCTGGTGTACACTATATGCATTTTAATTAATTTTATGAACCGGGTCGTATATTTGTTTCTAATATCCTACAGTATCTACTGAGGTGTTACAGCAGAACTATGTCGCTTTCTTGCAGAACCACACATATGAACCTCATGGTGCCACAAGAGCAAAGGTCAGTCCCAAAGTCCACTAAAGTCATCAGGATTTATTGTGAGACATTGAAACGTGGTGCCAGCCTTTCAATCATCGGCTGCATCTTAAGCGTGTTTATAGTGTGTGTTACGTCCCCAGAGTTCTGGGTTCGTATAATGATTCCGATTCGGGGATTGCTTGTAGTTGCGTGTGTGTGTGTGTGTGTGTGTGTGTGTGTGTTTGTTTTCCAGGTAGGATTGGGACCCGGAGCTCCACCCCCTCGTCAGTGGTCGCAGCTGGCTGGGCTCTTTAAAAAGCCCAGTTTTGGACCAGTTCTCTAGTGATGGGAAGTTCGGATCTTTTTACCGACTCGGTTCTTTGAATCTCGTTCAGTAAAATGAACAAATCTTTTTCGAGTCATTCGTTCATGTCGGGGGGGGTGGTAAGATGAACGAACGAATCTTTCTTCGAGTCATTTGTTGACGGGGGGGGGGTAAGGTGAACGAACGAATCTTTCTTCGAGTCATTTTGTTGACGGGGGGTAAGATATTCCCGGCCGTTTACCGACAGTAAAATGAACGAATCTTTTTTTTAAGAGGACTCCCTTTTGGGAGCTGGAACGTAACAGTATGAATAACATGTTTGTGGTTTACATGAATACATTGTGTTCGACAAAGCCTAAAAGTTGCTGATGAAACTGAGTTTTTTTTGACCACACTTCTGACCACAATTTTATTCTCATAAGAAGCAATGTTACACGCAGGATCAATGATAAATGCTGTTCATGTGAATATTGCACTAGTATGTCTTGTAATGTTGTGGTTAAAATGACGGGGTTTTGGATTTCTGTGTGTCGTTGATATTCCAAAGAGCTCATCTTCCTCCAAAATTCCCAACCGGTATCCATTCTGTTTTTTTCTTTCTCTGAACTTGACATGAGTCTCTGCGTTAACTTCCCTGTTCATGCGTGTTTCTATTGTAGAAGCAATCCTTCTTTTGTGTGAATTAATTATAAAATGTGATCTCTCATTTTGCCAGCGTGATTTCCATCTGTTCCTTCCAGTGACGTTGGTGTAAAAGTCGTCTTTGGTCGGTCCAATTCAGACTGTATGTTTCCAGTTTTCAAGGACATCTTTCTTTCTTTTTAATCATTGCTTTTCACATGTTATAATGACACAAGGCCTCCAGTGACCGCACGTCACTGGTTCCTTCCTGTTTTTGACACATTTGATTTGCAAAGTGAACTGAAATTCTACACCAAACTTGTTTGGAGTTGTTGATACAGTTTATAAACATATTGTTCCCTGAGTGAGCTGATTCTTTATCATCCAATTTTTTTTTTTTTTTATCATCTTGCAGACGTCGCTGCCTCTTCGCTGCCTCTTCGCTGCGTGGCATTTGCGAAGAGGCAGAAAGTCTTTGCTCTGCACTATGTTTTTCCAAAAATAACAACAAAAAAATGCTAAACAATAACATTTCAACCAAGGTTGAGTTTTACTCGGAGGCAATCTTCTATCTTTACACTAGATGGTGGCAAATTGTACTCGCCGCACCTTTTAGTATGACGCTCAACTAAATGATCACATAGTTACATTCCACCACTTATTATCAGGCACACGTGTGACATCCTGGCAGCGCTGCGTGACATGGGGGGGGTTCATTGTCTGAATCTCCGGTCACGCACAAATTTTTCGATATATCTGAGTTATTTAGAAACAGGATCTGCATATCTTATTCTCAACATCATCAGACCAAAAAAGGAAGTGTGTTTACTGTTTGAACTTCCCCCAATCGCTCTGTCTTCAAGAGGATGTGATACATATTAAGGAAACAGAGAGAGAGGGAGGGAGAGGGAGGGAGAGGCCCGTGCTTGTATGTGCTTTCTTACACAATTCAGTCTTCTTCATGTGTCAAAGATGCAGGTTGTTTGTGGCGGACAATCCCTCTGGATATATCTGTTATTCACTTCTCTACAACTCTGGGGTAGGTGTCGTACCGGAGCTGTTTCTAAATGAGTTATATATTCATCGCTGAGATTTATTAATTTCTAACAACAACATATTTCCCACACAAGTATGTATATTTTCTGTTTGCTCTGCGGGTAAAATAAGAAGCAAAGAACTGCCATGTATCATCAAAACAAACAACCACGCTTTTTGTAAATTGACTAAATATTGGTGTTAGCCTCAATATCTCTCTTGTTGAATGTCATGTTTCATTGTTATTGGCACAATCCCCAGTCGGGTACAAAGGGAGCGTCACCGCATGCAGCAATCACAGTTGGGGCTTCACTGTTGTACTGACTCAACATGTGAGAAACTCAACTGTCTCTTGCTGCATGTGAAACCCTCTCCCTCTTCCTCTAGGAAGGCTTTCTGTTTCTACCTCCTCTCCTCTGCCACCGCCGACACTTCACATCGATTCAAGGTCAACGTGCTTCACGGTTCTGGCTTGCCGGACACCAATGGGCCACCGGGGGGATAAGTTCATGTTGTACCGGGACAAAAAGGAGGTATATGTTGTATTTTTGAGGATGTATCTTGTATCTTCTGCTTCCAATGGGACACAGGGGTTTTAATCTTCTCTGTGTGTTCATTTGTTTATTAAGGTGGACTCTCAAGAGCTGTCGTCCAGCGCTGAGGAGTTTCGGTTCACCGTGAGAATAAATGAGGGCAACCAACTGTTCTGCTGTCTCTACATGGAACAGGGTCGTACTTTCAGTCCTTTCAGTCCCTATCTGCATTTGGAAACCCCACAAGGTGAGTCCATGATTCGTTTTTTGATCTTTTCAAATGCATTTCCTGATGAAAATCTGGCATTGACTGATTCAAACCTCAGTTTCTTGACGGAGGCAGACTCTGATTCAGTATAGTAGCGGTAGTGGATCTCCTCTAGTCTCTTCCTGCTCGCTTTTCACTTCAGTTTGTGCAGTCACTCCGTTCAGTGCAGTGTTAATTTCTTCTACGAAAACTATGACAAAAAATGTTCGTTAACGACCTTTTTTCCATGACTAAGACGAGACGAAAACGATCTTAAAAAATAAAAACTATAACTAAATCTATTCTAACTTTCGTTAACGAGACAAGACGAAAATGTTGGTGGTTGACAAAGTCACAATACTTTTTTTTAACGGTCCGTTACAGGCTTCTCCAAACACGTCTAACATAATAAACTCATTGCAGGTTCTGAGGCCTCACGCATTTCAACTATAGTTCTATAGTATAGTAGCCACATCGTGAGAAGACGGTGTTAAACCGTCTTGTTCGTTCGTTACTAAGCATAATAGACGCGTGCACACACGTGTGAAATAATGTATTGCACCGATTGAAAGACGTTAAGGGGTCTCTTTAGTTGGGACAGTGGAAACAATAAAGGACCATGATGTTTCCGGTGGCCATGTCAAAAGCATTGCAAGTAAACAGACAAAGACAACAAAGTATTGCGTTTAGATCCCTGGTCCTCATGAAGTTGTTACACACTTGCCAATTTGTTAAATTGCCTTGCAAATAAATGCTTTGCTATTTGTTAAAATCCAAATCCTTTCATGTAATGATGTTTCACATGTCATTTGTATCAGCGGAGAAGGATTAAAATGACTAAATGTGACTAAAACTAAGACGAAGACTAAATCAAAAATAGCTGCCAAAATTACCACTGGTTCAGCGAGAGATTCGATATGTGGTATAACATAATAAACACTCCCTTCCTCTCCAACCCCCTAAACAACATGTTGCATGCAGGTGCTCTCTGCGGTGTCTCATTGTCCTCCGCTCTGTGGGTGTGTGCAGCGGTAGTTACATCCTGCGCTTCATATAGAAGCCACACACACACACACACACAGACAGAAACATCAAACACAATGTGTGCATAGCCTCCACTGGTGACGGTTACAGAGGGAAGTGTGTCTGGTAGTGTGGCGAACCGAGGCTTCTTTTTTTTGCATAGTTGACATCACTGCTGTGTCAAAGGAGCAATGTTAAAGGCACACATGTGGAGATAGCTTCATGGGCCTCTCCCTTTCTTCCAGATGCTGCCCGCACTTGCTCGTTACCTCCTCCGGTGTTGTCCGTGCATCCCTCCACCGGTACAGCGGTAAAGCGTGGGGACACGCTGTCCTTCACATGCTCGGCCCCCGTCCCGTCCGGGTCTCACTCCCAGCCAAGCTACGACAAAATAACGCTGACCTTCTTCTTGCTGGGGGGCCCTGAGCGAACGGGGGCAACGTCTGTCGTCCTCAAGCCTCGATCCAGTCGGGGATCGAACCCTGAACCCCGGCCGGGGGTCTTCAGCGTGGGGCCGGTGAGCGGAGGAGAGCAGGGAGAGTATTCGTGCATTTACCAGATCACCAAAAGAGGATCGGTGGTTAATTCAACCGCCAGTAACGTGGTGCAAATCACTATTACAGGTGAGGATGTCCCACATACCTAACAGACCCCAACCCTCAGCATCCCTATTGTTCATCTAGTCGTTACATAGACATAGACTTTAAGTCTTTACTAAAAAGTTATATTTATAAACCTGCTTTGCATTATGTTCTTTTGATTTAATTCCTTCAAGTTAATCAATCAAATTGGTATTCTTTGTATTTAAAAAAAATGTTTGATTGTGATTATGTTTTCACACGTGTCTTTTTAATAACACACCTTTTAATGTAGTTTTACATTTTGGAATAATAATGTAATTAAACATAAGTCTTATTTTATGAATAACATTTGAATCGATTACCATATCAATGGGATAACATTTGCAATGTTTAATTTCAAACTAATAACTATAACTATGTTTTTTAGCTTTTAACAATGAATCCATCAATTGTTATGTTTTTAAAATCCCATAATATATTTTATTGGCTTTAATTGTTTCTTTTATCCCGATTACCCAAACATGTTCAATTTATTATCATATAAGACAAAGCCAGCAAATATTCACTTTTTAGAGGCTGGACATATTGTAAATTGTGGCTGATGTTTCATATGGTGTTGCTTTCAGACGCGTTGCCGGTCCCCATCCTCGTCCTTCAGCAGCAGACGGACGTGTGGCATCTGCTCTGCACAGGCTCGCCCTCCTATCCCGGCGCTGTGTTCTCCCTCTACCTGGCCGACTCTGAACTTCCCGTTGCAGCTCAACACGCCGCCTTGATCAACTATCAGGTCACCTTCCCAGTGCCTGTCCAGGACACCCCAGTGGCTTTTTACCAGTGCCAGTACGACGTCCGACTGGGAAGCCAATGGAATAAGTCAGGGCGCAGCCCCCCATTGGCTGTAACCAGAGGTGCAGATTCACGCTGGAGCTGTATGTGTGTGTGTGGTCTTATTGGAGCGTAATCTGACATGTGAATATTTAGTTATTTTCTCATCTTTACAGGGTTTCCCGCTCCATCACCAACAGGTAGAACTACAATAACATGTCTTTATTCTACGTGGATATTAATCTATTGGGAATTGTAAGTGGGAGGAGGTCAAAGAAAAGGAAATGAGTCAGTATCATGTCTTCAGATTCGTCTCGTGTGGACTGGCCTCTCGTGCTGGGCTCCTTCTCCGCTGGGGTGTTGTTTCTCGGCGTAGTGGCTCTCGTGGTCGTGGTTGCACACAGGAAAGGTATGACAAATAATCTCTACTTTCTCACATGATGCATTTGCAATGTCATGATAAACTTCCCTTATGTGAACTACCTTATTACATCCTCTCTTTCTTCTCTTTTTTCCAAGTCAAAGCAGCAGCCGAGGAAAAGAAGAGGAGGTATATTTAAGTCCACATTATTTTCAAAGGCCAAATTACTGTATCTGTCTGCAGTGATCTGCTGCTCTTGAAGGATTTTTTATTGCCAAGTATTATTTTACACATACAGGAAATTGTTCTCTGCATAAAACCGCCCCGCACAGTGGGAGCAGTGTGCTGCCGTAAAGGGGTTAGGGGTTCGGGTGTCTTGCTCAGGGACACGGGACATGGAGCAGCCGGGATTCAAACCGCCTACCCGGTGGTTCCCAGCGCACCCACTCTACTCCATGTGCCTTTTGGAAGAGCTTCTCATGGGTTCTTTGTGATATTATGGGTTCCATTAAAACACTTTTTTTTGTCCTATGAACCCCTTAAGTAAGAAAAAGTCTTGTCAAAGGCGTCGGTGTTTAAAGGGAGTGGCCACAATCCCGCCCGCACATCCCCATAGACGCTAGATGGTGAATTTAATTAACCATTAATTAACATGGTGCTGATGTAGGTTGTGACGCTGTCGATGAAGTAGTAGAAAAGGTTTCACTGTGCAGAAACTGGAAGGGCTCCAGATGAAACACTTCGAATAGAATTTGGTTCTCTGAGTCGGAAACTAAAAACTGTGTTCCTGTGAGGAAGAGCTGAAAACCCTTCCAGACGAATGTAGTTTAGTAAGCCCCTTTAGTTGTGATAGTGTATTAAGTTTAGACAGTTACATTGCTCAGTGAAGCAGCAAGTTGTTGCGTGGATCTCTCTGAAATTGATCTTTTTTCAGATTACAGTCTTGCCTCTTTGCAGCTCAGATTTGTTTTTATCTAACTGATTTTAATATAACTTTTTAAATGCATTATCGCATTGCAGAGTCTGTATTGTTTCCTAAAATATTGCTCTGTTGAACTTGTGTTGTGCTGTGCTGTGTTTCAGGCAGGAAGCCCAGTTCTGGACTAAAGTTCATGCCAAGGACCATGTTGTTGGTGAGTTTTACGACAATACAACTTGTTATTTGTTCCCTTTCAATTTCATTAGTACCGCTGTAACTGGCAGATATTCTGAAAAGAGCTTGTCTTTTTTCTTCTCTGTTTTACAGACCTCACACTCAGGCGAACAAGCTTTCCCACCCAGGTATTTATGAATCAATACTCAATCTCCATTTGAAAATCTTTTTATAAACCACGATAAAGCAACGGTTGGCTTTTTGTCATTGTCAGAAAATCCTGTGAAAGAAACAAAACCAAAAATGCGTTATGACTTCTCTCAATACTCTGTGGCCTTCTGAGTCTGTGGCTTCCAGCCTCAAACCCAATGATTCCTACACAGGATATGGATCCAAACAGATAGACACGGCAGTTCTTGGCAAACAGTACTCAAACAGGAGTAAATAGTACATTTTTTTGGAGACAATTTCCAGCAATAGACAATTTCCAAACAGTGTTTGGATGCAATGTTGTTGTTAGTAGGGAGAGTCCATGAATGGCTTTGGTCTTTTCATAGAATTTGTTGACGTTATAAAAGCACAATATGACCAGATGGATCCCACTGTGCATGTTCCACTTTGCTACAGCAATTACTGACATAAAAACGATGCACATAGTGTGCAGTTTTTATTTCTGTTATTTCTGTGGCCTCTCCAGCACATATTTCCTATAGATTCTCTTTCACAAACAACTGTAAACTTCCCTGAACCCTTTAATGTAAACAAACACACACACATACACAGACACTCCTACATGCACACTGCCAATCAACAAACATACTGTCAACCACAGATATTCCTCGTTAGTTCCGTAGTGCAGTGCTCGCCTGTAATCAGCTGTAATCGCGTTCATTGATGAGCTCTGGTCAGAATGAAGATTCTCTCCAGGCTCTGGCTCCTCTCGCCGCTGTTACAGAAGAGACACTTTAGACGACAGGACTGGAGACTGTAGACTATCCTTGACCGTGGACTTTAAAAGCAATAAATCAAGAACAACAGCCTTTTTTCTCACACACAGAAAGAGAAACATAGCAAGTTATACCAACACAAATTGCATCCGTTCACTGACCTTCTACGTTGGCCCATTTACAATAGATAATAGATTTTAGGATAACCAGATTCCGTGTCCCATTGGATGCCCTTAAAAGGAGTAAACATGAGTGTGGGTCTGGAAATAGAAACTAATACATTATAATGTGACAACAGAGATAAAAGTGATACTTTATCGATTAATCAAGATAATATGATGTGCTAATTACAGATACCCAGAGAAACATGTTAGACAATGAACGCAATGGAGTGATAGGACATGACATTGTGGTGAGATTCAGAGTGTTGAAGCCATTACCTGGTTTATGTGTGTGTTTATTCATGTTTTACGTGTAGGAATGGGACAGTTTGGACTCGACTACTGAGACAGCCTCCAGATCTCCGCTGTGGAACTCACACTCCACATTCTCAGCCCCGGTGCATTAGAGATGTTTCTGTTCTTTAACTTCCTCTGGGTGTGTTTGTACCTTATTTACGTTTATTAATGTAGCATCGGCCCGGGGTACACCGCAGGACAGGAAGGTCTATTTCCTCAGGTCCTATTTCACGTATAGCAGTAGTGTTGTACAATTTGACAGGATGTGATGTTTCATGCTGCTGAGCCAGTGAATATACAGTCAGGCCCATGAATATTTGGACATTGACACAATTTTTGGCTCTGTACACCACCACAATGGATTCAAAATGAAACAAGATGTGCTTTACGTGCCGACTTTCAGCTTTAATTTGAGGGTATTTACATTCAAATCAAGTGAAGGGTGCAGGAATCACAACAACGTGTATATGCGCCCCGTTTTTTAAGTGACAGATTTTGCTAATTGCAGATAATGTAACATGTATTGTGTGTAGTGAGGAAAAGCCTCCTCCTGACACTGCTGTAGTTCTGCTAAATAATCCCCAGAGGGCGCCGCTTGGACGCAAATTGAATTTCACGCACAGCACACAGTAATTTAAATAGTGCCGTTTATCTAGTTGATCTCCAGTGCCGTTTATCTAGTTGATCTCCTGCCGCAATGCAACAGTCGCTCAAATGTGCAGCAGCTTACTTCTTACCTCTTAGTGTATCAGGTCGTTCTCTCTGCACATTGTGGGAGAATGTGCTGAGTCTTCAGTACTGTGTGAAAGTAAGACGGTAAAAGGACTCAGGAGAGAGAGAGAGACGCCTCTCACCTGTTTATGTGGGTTTAATGGAGGACATGCAGTAGATAAGAAAGAACTGTCTCTTTATGAGGACTGCTTTACATTTTACCGGCCTTTAAAATGACAAAGGGCTTTATATCAGTGGCAGAAATGGATTCAGGGGAAGGTTTGTCTTGATTTCTCTTTCATAAATGCAGCACGTTTATTTTTGGATTGCACAGTCTGCTTGATTCTTAATGCTTGAGTCAGTTGTGCTCTTTTCTCTGCCACACAGCAAAGATATACAGCTTCAGATTGTGTCCTTTTCGGCTGATTTCTTTAAATTCAGCCGAGGCTCCGGCGACGTGATGACTTTAAGAGGCCTCCCCACAGCAGACTGGCTACTGCGTGTGTGACACACGGAACCACGAGCCGGGTCGATGTTAATTTAAATGGGCCATCTCAAAACTCATAATTGCCCTTTTAACGCCACCCCATGCTGTGCCTGTAGGAGCGTGTGCAGACTGAACACGAAGGTGTGCGCTTTCATCTGAAGACTGGGGGGGGTTTTGGCAGATGCTTGTGGTTTATGATTTCAACCAGTTTATGAAGTTATGACCAGAGCAAACATTTAGCTTTGATACCATGTCTCACATGATTATCTCAAATGCAAACCCTGCGACCAGTTTTATTCTCACCACTTCAGCTCCAATTGTATTCTCTCTGACAGTGTTATTTTGTGAATAGTTCATTTTTCAAGGACATTTTTAAAAATAAAAGCATGTCAATCAAACACAACCTTATTGGACCCTCAATGTGCTTAAATCATGGACTGTATATGAGCAGAGTGGTCATTGGGACTGCAAATTTGATTCCTTGAGTTTGGTGTTTTAGCCATGTCTGCTTTTTGAAACCAGTGAACAGAGGTGACCATTGGGCAGAAGGAGTGGAGGAGAGACGGCGTACATAGCCCGTCAGCAACCTGTCAATCACAAGGTAGCCCCGCCCCCCAAAGGATACCCTGCTTCATGGCCCATTTTACTCTTAATGGAAACATAATTTAAATAAACCTCATGGTGAATTGAAAACGACCTTAAACTAGCGATCGAGACCGTTAACTAATGTTTACAATGTTTTGTAAGTAATAAATCAAGTGAGAAGTAGTTTTCATACAATCTGACTTCCTTTTGTAACCAGAGGAAAACATCACAGAAAATGGAGGTTTTAGGACACTGCCGCACTTTTCAGAATTGGATGGTGGCGCCTGGCTGAAATGTAGCTAAAAACATCAGATCCCAGCACGTTAAAGGATTGTTTCAGCACCGTGTCTACCAATGGGGCAGTTGACGACTGAACTGTGAGCGCTTAGGTTAGCTGTCAGCAAGCTAATGTTAGCTTTGCATTAACTAGTTTCTGTACTTAACTTTGGGATTTCCACATTCCACTAACTGTAACACAAGTTCTATACTGTCAACAAGTTGAATGCTTGCTGCTCACCTCATGTTAAACATACGGAGTGCCAAATCAATAAAGAATGATGAATTTCTTTTCTTCTCTGATGTGGGCGGGATGTGAATGTGCTCCGTGTCTATCTCCACCCACGGCTTGAGAATTACTTTGATAAAGGTGCACCCTATTTTTTCCACAGGTGGGAGGCTTAAAGAGACAGGCACTCTGATGAAGTGTTTCAGACAAAGGGGGACGACAGAAAGTGTTTAGAGAGAGGGTGTTGTTGTATTCAGAAATGAAGAAACGCTGGACGGACAGAGGTCATCGCAGATCAAAAGGTTAAATCAAATGTATTTAATTAAAGAGATGGTGTTGTGGAACATCACAGCTGAGGAGCCGCTGGTCTCAGCAACCAACAGGCCCCAGGTCAGTCCTTTTGACCATCCCTAGTGCCCATTTGTCGCCTCCACCAGTGAACTTGAGAACAATGGTTCCTACAGGTATTTATAACAATGCTTAAAGGTGTGAAAGTTAGTGTCCACACCTCTGGGAGTGGTCTTCTGGTGAGTTCAATGTAACTCGATTTCGAATGGCCCTTGGTCAATATCAGTTGTTGTGCAAGTATTACATGCATGCATTCCAGTTGATTACATTACATCAAATACTATTAATAACTACATTGGTATTATTCTATTACAGTTTCCGAATTACAGTGGCTTTACAACATTGTCATTACTTTATTGGTTACACAGTTTTAGAATAATGGCTGTATTCTGGTGTACATTATATGCATTTTAATTAATTTTATGAACCGGGTCGTATATTTGTTGGAATTCATAAAGCATTCCAAGTATTGTTCTTCGAATCTTTATTCCAACTTCTTCTTCTTCTTCTTCTTCTATTTGTGTGGACACAAGTCTCACCTATTTTATGAAAAAAACTGCTTGTTGATATCTATTCTACTTTTTTCATAATCACTGATTATGTTTCACTAGTTCTTCGCCCCGCTCCGAGTTTTACATGAGTGTGTATTTGTAGTACACACGGACATTCGTGACACCCAGGCGTGCGTTAGTTTTAAGAAAATCTTTTTCTTATTCCTCCGTGAACACAGGTAAGAAGTGCGCATCAGCGCCAAGATACAGGTACACTCTTTGTCCGCTCTATCTTCTTCTTTCTCTTTTCCTTACTTTTTTCCAAGCGCGCGAAAACATCTCCCCGTTGTCTCTAAACAAGGACCACTTAGGTGACCTCAGTGCCTGTTCACTTACCAACACATATACATACTATTGCTTTGCAAAAGAACCTATGCAAGTTTAATCAACAAATAATTAGAAAATCAAATACATAAATAATGGAATATAGGGGGGTGTCCATATCATATCCATCCTGGGGACCCCACATATTGCGTTTCTTAGAGTGAGACCTCGAGGGCTAGAGTGTGGAGCGGCGTCAGAATCTGGTTAAAAAAATATGGAACTTCTGTCCTCAGAGCCAAAGTATACACTTTTGAGGCTTAATTTCTCTGGATTAATGATGGCATGGTTGTGCTGATTGGTTCATGGAATCCCAGAGTTTTTTAGTTTTGGCTTCCGGAGTGTTAAAGTGACACAACCTCTGCCAAAAGCCCCATAGGCTCCAATAGAAATCTGGCGACATATTTCAAAAAAACTCCAGAAGGTACACGTTTTGTAAACTGCGACAGGAGCCGTATTTATTACCGGACAGACATAAAAACCACATCCATGCGTTCGGTAGAGTCTTGGGTCTCGTAAAAACGTCCTATTTTTAGACAGCTGTTATAGTTTTGTGCTAAAGGACACTTGTTTGAGGTGTGGAATCTGTGTAACTCTCTGTCCTGTCTCTGCCCTGTTCAGCAGCTTGTTAATGAACCCAGGTGCGCCGTTGCCGTGGATACTCACACACACGCTGCGGTATCTCTGTCTAAGACTCACAGCTGCTCCTATTACCTGATTAGTGGAGTCACATGATGCAGCTATGCTTTCTGTCAACAGACCAACATGATAAAGACACTTGCCCTCCCTCCCCCCTCCACCCTGACCTCTTCTCACTGTTAATCACTCACTCAGTCAGACTGTCTAATTGTCCTCCTCTCTCTCTTCCTCACCACCCCTCCCTTCCTCACCCTCCCTCCCTACACCCCCCCACCCCACCCAATCCAATCCAATCCAATCCAAATAAAAGCCCCATGGAGGGAATTCTTACTGTAATGTTTGTGATGAATCCTATCAATTAATAACTTCTTAGTTTGAATAACAAACATTCTGTCTCCCAAGCCCCCCTCACCCAATTCCATCATGTCAAAATAAAAGCCTCAATGATTATCTGTACCTTAACCATGAAGCTCAGAATGAAGCAGTTTCGTTGAAATACATATTGCTCTTTCAAATACCACTACAACCACTAAGAATATTACTAGTACTTCTAGTAGTACTACAACTGATACTTCTACTACCATACTACTAGTATTTCTACTGCTATTAATACTAAAACTACTACTAATGTTATTGCAAATACTACTATGGCTAATAGTATTAGTATTACAGTTGTTTCTACTGCTATTGATACTAAACCGACTTCTACTGCTGGTACTACTAATACCCCAATTACAATTATAACTAATACTACTATTAATATTACTACAAACAATTTGAAACCTTTTTATTCATCTCAGCTTTTGTTATTTCTGTATTTTTTTAAATTCATTTAAGCTCCAGCAACTGTATTTTTTAGAAATTCTATTTAAATTCACCTTCCCCACTTCCTGTATTTTCAGCAGTTTTTAAAAATAATTTCAGCTTTTCGTATGCCTGTATTAACAGCAATGTTTTAATATTCATTTCTGTATTTCTTTTGCAATATTTCACATTTATTTCAGTTGTTTTCATTTGTACTTTTTCAGCAACTCTATTGAAATTCCATGCAGCTTCTCCCATTTCTGTATTTTCAGCAATTTCAAATTCATTTCAGCTTTTCTAATATCTGTAATTTCAGCAAATTTTTCAAATTCCCTTCAACTTTCTGTAATTTCAGCAATTTTTTAAAATTCATTTCAGCTTTCAGCTTTTTGCATTCCAACGCATTTTCAGCAGGAAAAGCATTTTCTAGTTGTTTCTAATATCCTATAGTGTGAAATAAACATGAGGTTTTTGGACACAGGGAAACATGTGTGAACATGTGCGATTAGAAACCCTCGGCTTTTGAACATCAAAGAAACACAACACGCACACATGTAGAGCATTATGATACATGTGTGGAAAATGATCTGTAAGAATGTATGTAGACCATATGTGTGTATTCTATCAACACACATATGGTCTTTCTCATTTCCCAATTTGTACATCCTCGCTTCCTTTCCTCACCTCCTCCCCTAGCACAGACAATAGTAGATGCGAGCGGAGGAGGACACTGTTACCCTGTAACCATCATTTTGAAGCAGTAACAGTGTAATATGATGCAAGGCTCAGCTGCAACGGCTGTCTGGGGCTTTGTTGTACTGTTGTATTGCACGATCACTGTCTGATGAGCATAACAGTGTAAATTCACTATTCCGTCAATTCAGATTGTGGCCTAATGTGAAAAGAATGTCATGCACCTTAATTTGACAGGCACTGTAGTGTAAGTGTCAAGGGCGACGGTGGCGCATGGAGTAGAGCGCCGGGGACCACAAGGATGGCGGTTTGAACCCCGGTTGCTCCATGTCCCATGTTGAAATGTCCCTGAGCAACACGCCCAACCCCTAAATGCTCCCTGGGCGCCTTTACGGCAGCACACTGCACAAAGTCGCTTTGGATAAAAGCCTCAGCTAAATGACATGTAATACTACTAACTATTATATAAATAATATATATATACACGACAAATATAGTGTGACATTTGATTGAGTGATAGTGTAACACACAGATATTTGGTCTTTTCAGCAGTTTGGACTTGTAAACATTGTGTCAGCATTCCAGCTATTCCATTGGGGGTGAATTACATTCAAGATAAAAGCATGATAACAGGGTAAGGTATCATTATGGAATGTGGTCAGATCAGAGCCTTAGGAAGAGATACACAAGCTGTCATCATAACTACACAATTGTTAAATTGTTTTTTGTAGCACATATATTACGGTATGTTTAACACCACAATTCAATCTCTCCTGCTTTCAAATTGTTGCAGCTACAAGTGAGATAATTCACACTTCTCTGCCCTCTTGGTAGTCACGGCATTCACATATTCTTTACACGAAATGTAACGGATGTGGTCCAATGTTGTGAGTCAAAAATCCCGGGAGAAAACAGCGGGGAACCTCACACGCAACCAGGCCGCAAGAAACCAAACTGACAAAACAAGAAAGAGAAGAAGACGAACCCACAGAGGACAAAGGCACTGCGGCAGCATCTGTGGGGACGGACTAATGGGGAAGGGCAGCAGGTGAGCTCAGGTATCTGCAGCGCTAACGAGCAGCAGGTGAAACTAATCATGCCGAGGCAGACGCTCAAATGTGGCGGGAAAACACAAATAGGAGAGAAGGGAAGTGATCAAACAGGAGAATAGGAAAAATAAAACAGGAAACACTAATGAGTGACTTGAAACAAACAAAACTTACCTGAGGCACATTAGGACAATATTTTTTATTTATACTTGGCAAATCAGGGCAACTGGAAGTGCAGTTTACCATGAAGAATCTTAAACAACTGACTTTTAAAAATCTTTAACAAGTGACTTATAAAAATAAAAAATAATAATTTCAAGCAATGCAGTGAAGCATCACAAGCATTTCTCCTGAAAATGTAACAAGAAAAAGTACTCAAACACGTGGATGTACCTTAAATTAAACATAACAGTGTTTGAGTGAGTTACATTCCACCACTGTGAGTCTGTCTTCAAGCACACAATAGACACACACTGCTTTGAGGCACACAAAAAAAAGTATCATACATCCATGACAATTAATCTAAAACCCACAGAAACGTGTGCCCGTACACACACACACACACACACACACACACACACACACACACACACACACACACACACACACACACACACACATTCCCTTGACATCATACTTTTGTCCCCTTAACAAAGAGGCATTAAAAGAGCGCCGGCTGTATGTAACTCTGACATCACTCAAAGCCATGAAACCAAAACTCTCAGTTTTTTTACTCAGCGCCAAGCTTTTAGTCTTGTTGGGGGGGGTTTGTTAGCACCCGAATTGTTTTTCGGGTGTGTTCACCCACTGCACACACGGGGCCATCGTACGCCGCAGGTTGGTAGTGACGGTGCCAATGGTTCAAAACGGCAGCAACGTGGCTCCAATATGGACTTAAGCACACCTTGAAGGGACAAGTGTGCCACGTGACGCTTTCTTTTCCGTTTTCGAGGCTGCGTTAATGTGAGCCGGATTACAAACAAATAAAAACATGCCTGTGAAGATTATGTTCCATAACAGAGCCCTCTAAATCCCACCCACTCTTCCTTTAGTTAGTTTATTTCATGCGCCTGTGCTGCATTAGTTAAATCACACTCAATCAATTAAGGAGACAAGCTTAATCATGTGGATCAGGTTTTACTCAAAAATACTTACATAATGCTTAATTTAAAAAAAAGTCTAAACAATGGAGCAGCTATTATTTGAATATTATTTGCCTCTAAAATCCTTCTTCAAGAAGGTGCTTTAATACGCTAATCTAGCTTTCACTGGGGATGCGTGAAACATAATAAAAGAAGCAGTCATTCATGGATACAAATTGTGCAATAATTCAGATCGTTGGCCTACATCCACCGAGTTACTGGATTAAAAGAAACACAAGAACACTGAGTTTAATTATTTCTGTGAAGCCGGTCATATTTTAGCAAGTGTTGGTGTTACACTGAAATCAATCATGCAGAAAGGTGATTATAAGTCCCTTCCCCTTCGAATACATAAATGGGGTTTAATTGCTTCAACTTCAGTAACAGACTGAGATACACAAAGGTGGGGTTTATTACATTGTATGGGACCACGGTAGATTGTACAGGTGCAATAAACTAGCAACTATGTGTCATAAAATTGGCAATAACACATTTTTTCTCAAGCAGGAAATTGTTTCAACAAATGAGTAAAATGGTAAAGAACTTCATTAGAGTTTGAAAATTCTCAATATATTTGCATTTCTACTATTTTCTTTGCCTTTTTACATTGGTAATCTTGGAGTTTTCCAGCACCAGAAGCAAACCAACGGTTTATTTATCAATATGCAGCCCTCCTTCTCCCCAACCGCCCTGGTAAAGGAATCTTCAGGGTTTTTCGTCCACCACCAATCCTTTTCCTCGCTCCCAATCCTCCTGACCTCATTTGTGGCCTCAATCCTCAACCTCTTTCTTGCTCTTTCCTCCTCTAGTATTCTCCCACTTTCCAGACACTGATCTTCTTTTTTTCTGTGACAGTCTTTCAGCTCTCCACTTAAAAATAAACTACGGGTCTCGGTTGAACCTTCCTCCCCACTTTTCGGTCCATCAGCGGTTCTTCAGTTGTCTTCCATGTTGTGTTCGCTGACTAGGCCCGACTCCCAGCGTTGCACAAGAGGGCTCTTCTGTCTCGGGGTCCGAGGACTCTGTGGGAACTGGGTGAGAGAAGACGGGAGCAGAGGACAGCGGGAGCGAGCGGTAATTTGGAAGCAAGAGATGACGAAAACAGGATGAAAGCAAGTGCAGAAAAAGGAAATTAAGAGCAGAAACATCAGATATGTCAACCAACACGGCATAAATGAATTTCCTCTACGATATCTTGGATGAGCATTATTATTATTATTATGAGACAGAAGGAGGTTAATACGCTTGTGATCCAACACGGTGTTTGGTGTGACTCTACAACTCTGGCAATTTTCTGCTGCAATCCTGCGTTTATTCCTGAGTCTAATCAGGAACCTGGTCTAAGGAGAAAGCAGATAACCAACTAGCAGATAGAGAGGGAGGGAGACACTTGTGAGTGCTGGAGAGGAAACAGATCAAAACGCAGCTAACACCGAACCGTCAAACTGAAGCTGAAACCCAGCGTATCAACGCCAAACTGAATTAAAGGATAGCAAAGTTTCAAAGAGAAGCACACAAGGCAGGTTCAAGGAAATTAAGGGGATTGTCCATTAACTTTTCTCTTTCACCAGTATTGACTACATAAACACCCTAAACACACACATTCCCGCCCACACACACCTCACAAGCTCTCCCTGCTTCTCTCTCTCAGATCTGTTTCCGTCTTCCTTTATCTATGAGGATACGCTTATTAGTGTGTTCAGTCAGTTATCAGATGTTTGTGGCCCATGTGAGGTTGAATATGAGGCTGACATCCTCCTGAGCATCAGCTTCATGTCAGTTATGTCTGGGTCTGGCTACACAACCTATTGTATGTAGGCTACATGGTTAGGATTATGATATCAAGCTAGCGATTGATGCTAGTGCTAGGCTAGGCTGGTGTTTAGCGAATAAACTCAAATCAGTCGAGTTGTGAGCTGTAGGGAGGGAGATTGGGAACTTGTATGTTCATTATAACCTCATTAAGAAACGTCTGATCATCTAGTCTTGCTCTGTAAGTTATGCTGTATCTTCTCAACGTGAACATCATGATGCCATGTCAATTACCTGATGACACCAGTTAGCCAGTCTATGACAGTAGATGTCCATTTGTTAAACATTAAATATCCAATTTATTTTATTTTATTTAAAAGGAAAGTATTATTATGTTATACATTGTACAGTTGGCCAAGAAGAAGAAAAATCAACATGGAAAGATGGAACCAAGGCTGTGTCTACTTTAGGCTCTTTACCTGTGTACAGCTACTTTCCAAATTTTGCTTTAATAGTACACATAGGCCCTAATGTGTTGTGTGTACATTATACAGCCCAAACCTGAATGCTCTGCTACACCAAATTGTGAGAAAATGGAAAATTTTTCCTACATTTTGAATACAAAATACATGTATTGTAATTTGATACATTTTCTGGCACCAGTATATTTTGCATTTCATTTTAATACATTTATTTAAGAGGTATTTTGTATCTAGATTTATTTTGATGTATTTTTGTCTCTGTATCTCTGCTTCCTATGAACTGCTAGAGAATCTTTATGATTGTGGAACCTGATATCCGTTGCATTTCAACGAGACTGAGGAGGGTGATTTGCCTACATTTTCATGTCCTCTAGGTGCACCAGATAGGTATGGTTGGAACTTCATCCAGCAAAAAAAGAAAAGAAATCGAAAGTATAAAATGTCACTCTGTGGTCGAATGTTCAGAACTGTTATAGCCATGTTATAACCCACGCACTGTTACAACCCACCGTAATGTTTAAATTTAATTGCATTAAATTACCAACGCTGACTCACCTCTGGCTGGTCAATCCTCTCCTCTTTAGGCTGACCTGGAGGCCACAGCCCCAACTTGCCAACTGACTGGCGTCCTGCAGGAGAGAGAGAGAGAGAGAGAGAGAGAGAGAGAGAGAGAGAGAGAGAGAGAGAGAGAGAGAGAATTCATTAAAACATGGCGAGCAAGAGTTTGCATCAGAATAGCAATCAGGCAAAGGTTGTCTTTCTGTGCTCTAAACTGTGAGAAACGAAGCCCTGAAGCAAATTAATTAGTCAACATGAAGAAGTGGAGTGAAGTGAAGAAGGAATAATGCTGCTTTTACGTGCAATCAGGCGGAATGACAACACATTCTGGACATGCAGGTTAAACAGAAAGCCCAAAAGAATGGTAGTACGGCAAAATGAAACATATTTTGCTCTGGTGACGGAATGAAATATATGTGTTTACCATTTTATGTAAATATTCTATAAATACATGCGATACTCAGTTATTTTATTTATTATATACTATTCTATCGACGTATCATCCAGTGTAAATTCTCATTGCTGGAATTATCTGCCGGTGTCACCATATTTGACCATCCTGCTATCCTTCATCATGTTCGTTTTTCTGTCTACCTTCTACCTGATTCCACATGAATGCAGCATGGAGGGAAAGAAATATTAACGTTACCTTGAAGAACGAGAAACTGGAAGTAGTCACCGGAAACAAAAGATTATGAAAATAGGAGGCATGACTCATTGTCTGTAATTCAATTATTCATTAACCCACACTGAGTCACGGTCATTCAGGTACCGTGCGAGCACACCACGGCCTGATTGATGTGTCCAACAGAAACCCATGACAGCTGGGGACAATTTTATTCATGTAGAGTCACGTTTGTTACAAACACAGGACTTTCACCAAGTCAAGAGCTGTTTGTGTCCCAATTGAAACCTGGAGTCATCGTGTTTTACCAAACCTAAGTCATGTTGGTGCTTTTCTGCTCTGTTTCAATTTGCATTCAATTCAATTTAATACACATTTTTAAGACTGCAACACAAATGCGGGAGAAAATACTATTCCCTCAAAACTTCATTCAGAATGCAGCTCGGTTGTGTGTGGGGGCACTTTTGTAGGACACAAGGTTAATATACATGTATCAATTACGCAGTATCCCCAACATGAAACCTGGTTGAGAATCGCTGCTATACAGTTTAGCGCACACAATGGCAGCAGGCTGTGTTGGAAACAACGTATTTCACTTTTTGCTCTTGTTGTCAAAGCTCTCGATATCACTATAGGAACTACAATAAAACAAAGTTGTCTTCACTTTTTGAATTCTTCATCTGAAATTGGACAATCCAATGCTGATTTTGAAAGATGTTTAGTGGTTTTCCAATGACCAGGAGCAAAAATGAAATAATGTGAAATAAAGACATGAAAATGATGCTCAATTCAAGCATCCCAGCACACAAACACATTTTCCATGTGGGTTCAGCCCGGCACACACACACACTCACTCCAAACACCAACCTGCTGTGTGTCTAGTTCCCCCTCTGGATGACGACGCAGGTAAGTCAGGAAAAGCCAGACCATTCAGTGACGAAGAGGTTGACAACGTGGGGACTGGCGTGCTTCTTCCTTCCTTCTCTCCTGTGCCCCCATACAGACTGGCCCTCTGGTTGTGAAGCTCCTTTTCTCTCTCTTGAGTCTCCCGGATGTCTTGCTCTACTTTGACCAAATTTGTTGAGGAGCGCAGCTTGAAGAAGGGATTCTCCTTGGGTTCCTCCTCATCCTCCTCCTCCTCCTGCTGCTCGCTCATTTTAATCCTACCCCGTCCTCCTGTCCTAGAAGATGAGACGCTCGGACGCCCAGAGTTGACTACAGTGACGGGCCCTGCCTCCAGTTTGGCGTGGCAGAGCTTCTGTGCTGGAACACTGATATTGCTTTCTAGGATGATGACTTTACAGGCCATGCCCTCAGATGACCCTGGTCCTCTGGGAGTCCTAGCGGGGTCACCACCTCCCATGACTGAGCTCGTGCTCTGAGTGGGCAAATATGACCCTCCTATGGTGGATGCCTGCGATGAGATGTCCTCCTGGTTCTCCAGGGTTGAAACGTCACTGGCAGAGGACCAGGACGTGGGCTTACTCTGGGCTGACACACTCAAAGTTGAGTCACTGGGTTTCTGAAAGGCCTCGAAAATCTGTTTCCTCTCTTTGATTTGGCGGACTGTGCCTTTGTCATAGAAGCCTTGAACTTTGCCCAGCTTGACCAGATCCTGCTCCCTCTCGGCTTCCTCGTGTATCTCTTGCTCCATCTTTTTGCCCGCTAACTGCCTGTCTTTGCAGTGACTCCTCTCAGACTTAGTTACGGACTGGCAGAGAATAGTTTTTCTTAAAGGGATCTCTACATACTCTGGCGAGGTGGGTGGATTCGGAAGCCCTCTGGATCTCCTCAGACTGTGTTCACGTTCTACGGCCCGCCGCATCTCCCTCTCGATGGGGGTCTCTTTGGGCGCAGCAGCTGGATAGGCTGTGGAAATGGTGGTGCCCTCCAAGGTGCTGCATGGGGAGAAGTCCGCTGAAACTCCACTATCGCTCTGGCTATCATCACACGAGTCAGTCTCCATCCTGCTGTGTTTAGCAGGCACGCAGCAGCAGCGTTTATCTATCTCAATCTTTTGCTTCTCGACGGTTTTGGAATTTTTTGGCCGTTCTCGGACGCGTTGCCGCTCAACAGTCTTGATCTGCGCTCCCTCTCCACCTGTCTGCGTGCCTCCTCTCAGTGTGCGGTCCCCCGCCCTGCTGCGCTTTTCTCTCACAGCGACCGCAAAACCAGACCCCGCCCCACCCCGATCAGACAGCTCCATGACAACAGTAGACAAAGGTGAGGCGCTCTTGCAGAGCACCTGTTGTGCAGCTTCCTGGTTTACTCCCCTGGGGGTAAGCTCCCTTTGGCTCTGGGGCAACAGCTCCCCCTGCGGTTTGGCTGACAAAAATGCAGGGAAGGTTGACGTTGGGTCTTGTTCAGTGGAAACTGATGTATTGGGAGAATGTGAAGGGTGGAAAGGCTTGCCCTCTGCGTCTAGTGTTGTGATTGATGCTCCATTGATTCTGGCAAAGGGAGGAGAATGAGCTGCTGAATTTGATTCAGGAGCTACAGCCGACATCTTATCTTCAGGTTCACTACAGTCAAAACCATCTGGTAAGAAGTTCGGCTGTGTGTCATTCTCCTCTGTAGTCGTCTCCTCCGATAATGCATCTAACTCTGTATTTGCGGGCTTAGAGAGAAGAGGTGGCCGTTCAAGACTATTTTGTCCATCGGGAGACGAAAGGTCCTCTGTTGGGTCCAACATAAATTCATCCAGCTCCCTCACCAGGGTGGAAAGACTCTCTTTCTCAAAGCATTCCTCCATGGATGAAGCACCGAGGGGAGGAGTCGGGAAAGCAGCTTTGCGTGAATCAACTGACTTCTCCTCTTGAGCCCGGGATTTTTCATCTAATACTGTCCCCATCCCTGGTGTCTCTGTGGGGATGCAGCTACTAATTCTTGTATGTTCCAGATTTTCCGATGTGGTTTCATCGCATGTTTTGGTTCCTAGTAGCGCTTGGTTGCTGCCCAGTGTTTGGTCTTGAGCTCCTAGCTCTAGGGCGTCGATGTCCTCTTCGGGTTGTGCCCTTGGAGCATCTTTATCTTGCAGAGTGGAGTTGTGGCTCAGGGTTGCACTCTCTTTGCCTTGCGGCCACAGCTCCTCGACCCACTCGTCCAGCGCGTTGACTCGACCCTGCTCCTGCCATTCCACTGGCTTTGTTGCCATGGTGTCTGATGATGTAAAAACCCCTTGCCAGATATTCTGCTTCCAGTCAGTCGGTCTGAGTGAAAGCGGAGAAACACAGAAGGAAAAGAGGAAACAATAGAGTGATTACCAGCGTTCAACAACTCACATGGTGTTGTGGAAATTAAAATAATGTTATGTCTGAGTTGACAGCGAGTTTCTGAACTTTTGAGGTGATATGTAGTGTTTTAGCATAAACAGATGTTCAAGATGATTTAAATGATTTGCTGTGGTATTCCCACACAAGGGACTCGTTGTACGGTATTTACAGTTTGTGGAATAGTTTTAAAACCATAAATTCCATAAATTCCATATTTTTATTTCTTTTTTCAAACCTCATTCAACCTGTTGTCCAACCCTGTAGCTAGAACTGAAGAAAGAAAGTGAAAGTCATGAGCTTGGTCTGTAAGGTGCTAAATCTTTCTGCAGAACATTCACCTTTCTTTTAATCTTCTTACGGCTGGACAAAGGGGCTCAGTGTACACACACATACACAAACTGAAATAACAATAGGATTGTCCGCAGGGTTTACTGAATGAAAGGAGGGGTTTGCTCCTCTCTTTTTAATATACACACACTGTCCCTCTGTTATTTCAATATTGCTTTTGGCTCAATAGTATGCCCTCGTCACACCTCTCTTGTGCACACACACAACCCCTCTGTGCTCTTCTTTTGCATCCTGACAAACCAATCAAATTCTCCTCCATGTTGATTCTCTCCAAGCAACTCTGGCAGGACTCCAACTCTTTGATTGGTCGTTTAGGGGAACGTGGATCAGAGCGCTGGCCATGATTAGTCAGTGATGATCCACTGGGACGGATGGACAGATACAATAGATAGATGGTCAGATGGATGATGGATGTAAAGATAACAAGGACTGGCAGCGTGACACGGCAGGACTAATGGGAATCTCTGTAGTGACAATGATGGCAGAGCACAGTCCCCACGGCTGAACACAGCGGCCTAATGGTGGTAAATCAGTATGAGAGCAGTGAGTCATGACAGCTATGACAGTCACTGTAGAGCCAACAATGGGGAGTTTTGGGAACCATTCACCAGCTGCATATCATCACTGGCTTTGGGCTGCCAGTTGGTACAATTGTGTTGTCTATCATTCCACCATTATGTTCCAATGTAAAATTGTCAATACGGTGTCCTACACTTTACACAACAATGGTGCTAACTGTAATTATATGGTCATTTTTGGTTCATGCTAGAACTATTTATAAAGCTTCCACCTTTCAAGGATGCATCTAAAACCCGAAAAGGCCAGGGCTGATCATGTTGCAGCAAGCCAACAACAATCATGGTTCATAGTCACAGTTTTTGGGGTTGTTTGGCTGTTTTCTTTTAACATCCATGCTTTCAAAAATGCTCCAAGAAATATTTCTTTGGAAGAAAAGGGGTTTTAATGTAATCTTTGGTCTCACAAACAGTCCTTGAAAAACCCTTTCTGAGTTCTTCCTTTTTTTAAAGTTTATGTTTATATTATGAACAAACAGTATATTGAAGTAGGCATTGAATGTGACCATGACTTCAATCAGTACCCATTGTGAAATGCATCTTCGATATCTTCATACTGGCTGTTTAATCACAGGATGTGACTGAGGAGAGAATGGGATAGTTGGCATTCCCAAAGAGTAATCACTGTGTCTAAATGCCACTCAATAATTGCATCTGTTTTGTGCATACTGCACCTGTACTGATTGTAGACACAGAAAATAACTGGGCTATAAACAGTCAGGTATTAATTGGGGTGGATTACTTCCGGCCCTGCTAAAAAATAGACCGCCTGTTGACAGAGACAACGAATTTCATGAAGGTAACATATTGTAATTTGTTGACTGAGAACGAGGAGCTACATTTATTTTGAAACGCAGTGTGAAAGCAAGCGTTTTGTCACAATGAGAAGGTACTTATTGTGATCAATTTAAATCTTAAATCTATTGCAAATATCTGCTTGAACAGTTTATTCCCTCAAACCCGCTGATTCTGTTAAAAATCCTGCTGAAAACAAACAAGCTCAAATCAATTAATACAACAATCCTGCAACACTACAGCATATAAACAATCCTCTCATTTATATTGTGGTACGGGAATGACATCCGACTACTATCTGGCATCCCCTAATGAGATATTCTCCCTATGAACATTTCCTGCGACATCTAATATGGCATGCTGTTCGGTTTCATTTTGTAAGAGGCTCAGAATATAACGGTTCTTCAACTCTCTCTTTGGGTAACTGAGGTTGCAAGTGATTGTGGATTAGAACTCCCTTAACACACTTATGTTTTGCTCATTATCTACAAAGAGGGCGCACTTTATCAAAAGAACAGCCAAACCATGATCATCATTAAAAATACATCTGCAACGGGCCTGGCAAATAAACTTACACTCCTTTCTGGGGTCAGCAGTGTCCTAAGGTACTTTAAGATCTGAGGGTATTAGACAAAAATGCAAATTAATTGAAAATAAATGCAGCCAACTTCATCCCTAATTAGAACCACTTCTGCTGCTGTTTAATGGTTGCTGACATAGTTATTTGCGAATTTTACAGTCACTTACTTTGATATGCTTTTAGTCACCGAGGCAACACCAGTGAAAGCTGGTCTCTACAAGCTCGGCTGCTAAGAACATTTTTGTTACGCAGTTGTTTTCTATTGTAGAAATCATTCACCAATCATTTATAATACAGCTTACAGTTCAACATACCTGTCAATTAAATGCTTTGAAGATGCCCTCCGACAGACACTGAGACACACACTTTGTCTTGTTTTGGGTCACTCTCACAGCTCTGCAGCCTCGCTGCCTGTATCTCCTCCCTCCAGCACACTCAGCGGACCAATTGCACTCGCACGACTTGCATAAGAAGCTCACTGTAGCAAACATTCCCTAACACAATAAGTACACACGAATGAGCATGTGTGCAAACGCACAGGCTTGAGCTCTCCCTATTGTTGTGGATTGGAATATATATATAGCACTAATCCAATTAGTGAACACGCATTCATTATTGAACCATGCAACGGGAGTGAGGAATTTCCTGAAGGGATAAGCGGGTGATCATGTCACAGCACACTTCATTTGGGTTCTCTTATATCTGGGAAAACACACGGTATCACATGCTTTAAGATTTTCGTAAAATTCGAATGTAGCAACAGATATCTTTGGAGTTCTTTGAACTGTTTCACGAGTTAATCAACAACGCACCAATCAATACATCCATTAATTTACTCTGCAGAACTGAAGGGGCCACAAAACTGTCTAAAATGTATCCTTATACTAGTTTGTCTGTTTCTATATAGTTATTCTTAATGCTTTGTCATTGGTACCACCGGGTAGCATTCCATGAAATTAGAAAATATCCTGCACGTTAATCAGAAACTCCTCAGGGAGGCACCGGAGAACCTGAATCAGGACTGTGGGAGTAAAATGAGGGTTTTACAGAGGGACTGTTGCCCGGCAACACAATCCCTTTTATCCACATGGTCCACCAAAATAAACACAAAAAAATGTCCATGTAGGACCCTTTAAGCAGTAAGTAGTGATTTTATTCATACAGCCTGAATTCAAAATGTACAAATTATATTAACATGGCATCAAACATCCTTTGAACATTCGTCTCACAGGTTACCAAAATCTATCATCTCCATTGACGGTTGACGGGCCCACATACTGAACAAAAGAAAATTACTTATTGTTCAAATAATGTGCTCATTACATCAGGCCCATACCTACTAAATGTCAACATGGGAAAATGAACAAAAAAAATAGACATTCAAGCTAAATAGATCCCACTGTGTCATTACATTACAGGTCATTTAGCAGACGCTTTTATCCAAAGCGACTTACATTACACTTTAAAGCCATGGCTTTTTCACATTTTTGCCCAGGGAGCCATTCGGGGTTAGGTGTCTTGCTCAGGGACACTTCAACATGGAACATGGGGCAGCCAGGACTCAAACCACCAACCTTGTGCTTCCCAGCACACCTTCTCTAACCCCTGCGCCACGATGACTCCTGTCATGATCTACTGGCAACATTTAAAAGGTGATTCAGGGCAACTTCTCCACCCTGTGAGAAATAACAATGGTGCAAAACTCTTAAATATCTTTAGGCATTTTATTAAACAGACATGTGGTTCGGAGGTCTAACAACAATAACGTTTTGTTCAGAGTATATATCCACAGTATTTTGTTCCCCCTAAGTAGTTCTAAGCATCTGCTGAGGCATCCACAAGGCTGAGATCACAGCTTTGTTATGGTCTCCAAGATAGAGGGTGAACAAGATGGCAGCAGTCAAAATAAAATACCATCATTAAAACATTTATTATTTGAAGAGTTTGGATGGCCTAGTCTGCATGTCCAGATTTAAGTAATGGAAATTATTATTTAAGTACTATTTTATAACTTGCATGCATTGTATAACTCACCGTATTGAGTAAAGGTATCAAGATGAATTTAAGGAAAGTTCCAGTAATACTGATTGTTACACACTATTGTTGCCCAATGCGACAGAGTCCCTCACGCTTTTTATTCTTCCGTTTAGTCCTCAATCCGAGCTGCTGCTGTTGGTTGGCCGGCCCTCAGGATGCTCTGGACAGAGCTCCTTGGTGGGATCCATCACCACAGGTGTGGGCAGCCCGTAACACGCCAGCTGGGCCTTGAACTCCTCCATCTCCTCCTGGGCCACCTCCCTCCTCCTGCTCAGCAGGTACAAGTCTACAGACCGCCGGCTCTTCGACTGCACAATCCACCGCATCACGGCACAGTCCGGGCAGTGTGTGGAGAGGACAGCCCCGTCGAGCTTGAAGCGTTCGCCCACGTTAAAGGTGAAGGAGCTTCCCTCCACCGAGATGTTGTAGCGCAGGTACTCGCATCGATCATCAAAGCGATTGATTTGGGTGTAGACGTTGGAGGTGTCACTGGAATTGCTGAAGAACATAGTGATGCTGTCTCTGAGCCTTAGTTTCTCCATGGAAGGCTGGTGGTTGAGACTGCCCGCAACTAGAGCCCATCCGCCCTGGAAATGGCTGGGGTCTAGCTGAGACAGCGGGTGGACCAATCTTTCACAGACCGGAGGAGCCGAACGGCTCACAGACATCAAGCAGAGGAGAAAGACGGCAAAGAGGGGAAACATGATGATATTATACAGACTGAACTTGACTTGAAACAGTGGCCTCAGCTCTGGCCCAGAATGGAGCTGGATAAGGGCGGCAGTCCAAATATATGCTTGCGTTTAGAGTCCAGTCCAGTCTTGCGACACAGTACATGGTCACAGTACCAACTGTGAATTCCATTATTGTGCAATGAAAGAAATGTGATTACTAGTTGTAATGTGTTGTGGTTCTCTCCCACTTCAGATGTTTTTTCATTTGATATTTGATATTTTCTGGGAATGAGACAGTGTTTTGCAGTGGAGTAAGGTCAACAGTCTCCAAACTGGCAATCAACCTCATCGTTTTTTTCAGTAATTATGCAGAAAGTCAAAAATAATATACCTCTGTCATTAAAACATTAATAAGAGTTTGGATGGCCTAGTCTTCATGTTCAGATTCAAGCAATTGAAATTATTATTTAAGTACTGTATTATAACTTTCCACCACAAATGCATTGTGTGTGACTCAACCTATTGAGTAAAGGTATTAAGATACACTAAGATGGTAACGTACAATATAACAATGTACACTGCAGTGATGTATAATCAAGTTCATAACTTAGTAATAAGTAAGTAATTTTTCTTATTTGCGAATTCTATAGTTAGAAAAAGTACCCCATGTTTGTCACTTCAGGAAATTAACTCACTAACATTTAAGGATTTTGTACTTCTCGGTGTCGAAAAAAAAGATATATTGGATGAGCTATGACCTTGTTAAGGGGTTTGTTAAAGACATATGTATCCTGTTTTTAAAAGACTCTGTAAAAGATTAAAACCATTAAAGAAATGTATTGATTGTTGTGGATGTGTAAACACAGAAGGCATGTTGGGAAAATAATCTGTTTCGCAAGCCTGGTTATTCAAAATGATGTGAAGCTGTTGTGACAGGATCGGACAGAGGACAGACGAAAATGGCAGAGCAGCAGTCAGAGGCGGAGTCGGTTGGCAGGTTGTTGGCAATTTTTAATAATACAACTGGAACAATAAAAAACAACAGAAAATCAAGCTAATTTCAAGACCCGGTTTGACAAACTACACTAAACTCCCAGCCTGTCTTCTCCCTACGGCTTCCCCGATTGAGCATTTTACATCTCACAAAGCACCCACTGTAACTGACATACAGAAGTAGTTTAAATCCATTGAGATTATGTGACGTTTAGTGCTATTAATGAATCTCAGGTCCAATCCCACTGTCCCCCCTAAGCCCTGAACCTTCAGGGACGTTCTTAAAGGTGTAATATGAATAGGGCAGCACTTTGCAGCAACATATCACATCACCAGGACCAATAAAAAATATGATTTATAATTGATATCATACGTTTTACTCTCTGATTTGAATGTTTTTACGGCTCTTTCCTCTTACGAGAGTTACATTTTTTATATGTTTTTTCTGTTTTCTCAAAGTTGCTTCGATGAATGAAGATTTTGTATTTTAGGAATAAATACATAAATAAATAACATCTGATTTTATGTGAATTTTTTCTCCATCTTTAATACAAAATGCCACATACTGTTGTATGTGATTGAGACAAATTCTCCTATAGGGCTTCTGTCTGTCTGTCTGGGGCTCTAGTTGAGCCCGAGTTTCTAAACATCGGAAAACCACAGAAGAAACAGTTCATTATTGATTATTTTATTGGAAAATACATGCGGCACTATTTGAGCAACACGATGGCCAGCCAACCGTAATCTTATCCATTAGCTGACACATAGTAGTTACCACAAAAAACATTTCAGGTCAGGTTTGAAGTAAGACCAATATCCTAAGGCGGGCACTGTTGTTTTATTACTTTTCATCTTCCGTGACACTTCAGATTCCCAACTTTCTTTCCCTGTGTATGCTCTACATGCTTCCTCTTACAAGAAAAATAATAATAATAATAATACAAAATTATTACATGGTGAAAAGGTTTGTACACCTTATGCTTGTATATTAAATAGTAAACAAGCTTTAACTTATCACAAATTCACATTTTATTATAGATTTGCTCATTTAAAAGGTTAACCAGTAACCATTGCTTAGCTGTCGCAGATCATTCTTAAATAGTGATTGTTTGAACTTATACATGATAACATTATACATTAATGTCATAGACGTTCTTACCGTAAACAGTGTCCCAAAAATTACATTACATTTCTATCAAGGCGGATGGTGGAAATGAACACTTTTCAAGTGTTCGCTCATAATCTTTTGCTCAGATAGTGTATTAGTAATGACCGTGCAACTAAAAATAAAAGACATTGCCTTTTAATTGGATAGTTCATAACTCTTAGTTCATAATTTCTCTGTCTTTCAACCACATATCCATTTGTACGAACAGATTTGTAGACATGCTTGTTGTGACGCCCACGTTTATCTCTGCTTGTGAGCCACATCTGATAAAGCTAAATTTAGGTCTATCTTAATGTCATTAGCTGTGCGTGACTGGAGCATGCATTATACTGCAACAAAAAGTGAATAACAGAGGCACATCCAACTGAATTTGGTCTTGGTTTATTTATGTGTTACAGTCATAAGCAATTGCATTTTAATTTCAAGCAAAGTTGTCAAGAATAAACTTTTGGATTAATTTTTAAAAAATTACCTTACTGTTCTCTAAAAGATGCATTAAAGGCATCGGCCGGACCAAGTCCTCACAGGCCAGCGGAGCTTGATGGCTCACAAGCAGAGAGTGATGAC